AGCCCCCCAAACCACACCCCCCTCCAACGGGCCCTGCTCTGTGTGTGATGAGGTAGAGCCATAACCTCCCATCGATCCTGCCTTGAGTGTGACAGGGTGCGGCACCCCAACCTCCCAATCGTCCCTACCCTGAGCGTGACTGGGGGTGGCATTGCAACCTCCTGATCTGCCCTGCTCTGTGCATGACAGGGGGCGGTGCCCCAACTCCCCAATCGGCCCTGCTCTGAGCCTAACCAGGAGCTGCGGGGCAGGCACCTAAAGATTGGGCCTGCCCTCTACCACCCTGGAGTGGTCCTAAGCCAGCAGGTTGTTATCTCCCGAGGGGTCCCAGACTGTGAGAGGGCACAAGTGGGGCTGAGGGACCCCCCCCACCAGTGCACAAATTTTTGTGCACCAGGCCTCTAGTCTATATATATAAAAGGCTAATATGCAAAGTGTCCCCTTGTGAGTTCGACCAGGAGACTGGGAGTTCGAGTGCTCGCTATGACATGCACTGATCACCAGGGAGTGGCACGGAATGAAGGAAGGCCCTGGTGGGCAGCTGGCAGCCAGGTAAGGAAGGCCCTGGCTGGCAGCTGGAAGGCCCCAATTGTCCCTCATGGCTGGCCAGGCCTAGGGACCCTACCTGTACACAAATTTTGTGCACCAGATCTCTAGTGTTTTATATTGCACGTTTTATCTCCATATTCCTTTTTATTCCTGTCCCAGTTCTGAAAAATACCAGCCCTTCTCCTTCCTTCACCCTTTTACTGATGCCTTCAAGGCTGGACTATACCACTCCCTTCAACTCCAAGTTTAAAATCTATTTCAATATCAAATCAATCTGAAATAAAATCACTGCAAGAGAAACAAGTACGTTGAAGATTTCTTAAAACTATTTTAGTCTTGTAATTCTTTGACTATGTATAAGCCTTTCAGATACATACACCCTGAGAGACTTTGTAGAAATCATGAAATAAGGTCAATAAGTCAGGTAGCGCCCTAACCGGTTTGGCTCAGTGGATAGAGCGTCAGCCTGCAGACTGAAGGGTCCCAGGTTTGATTCTGGTCGAGGGCATGTACCTTCGTTGCAGGCACATCCCCAGTGGGGGGTGTGCAGGAGGCAACTGATCCATGTTTCTCTCTCATCGATGTTTCTAACTGTCTATCCTTCTCCCTTCCTCTCTGTAAATAATCAATAAAATATATTAAAAAAATAAATAAATCAGATAGCTCAGGGACACAGGTTCTCCACAGGCAAATGATAAGCTATTCTCTTTTCTTTTTAAAATCTTTATTGTTGGAAGTATTATATATGTCCCCCTTCCCCCGCATTGATCTCTCAGCCCACCAGTGCCCCCCAACCCAGGCCTTTGCCACCCTATTTTTTTATATTAAAGGAAACACTTAGTTTTCCCCTGTTGAGTATGATGTTGGCTGTGGATTTGTCATATATGGCCTTTTTTATTTTGAGGTTTATTCCCTCTAGTCCCACTTTGCTGAGAATTTTTATCACAAATGGTGCTGGATTGTGTCAAGTGCTTTTTTTGCATCTATTGATATGATCATATGATGTTTATCCTTCATTTTGTTTATGTGGTGTATCACATCAATTGACTTGTGAATATTGAAGCATTCTTGCATCCCAGGAATAAATCTTTCTCGATTATGGTGTATGAGCTTTTTCATATATTTCTGGATTTGGTCTGCTAATATTTTCTTGAAATATTTTGCATCTATGTTCATTCGGGATATTGGCCTGTATTTTTTTCTTTGTAGTGTCTTTATCTTGTCTTGGAATTAGGATAATGCTGGCATTATACAATGAGCTTAAGAGTGTTCCTTCTTCTTAATATTTTTTGAATAGTTTGAGAAGATTAATGCAAACATCTAATCCAGGACTTTTGTTTCTTGGGAGTGTTTTTTTATTATTATTATTATTATTATTATTGCCTTGATTTTATTGCTTTTAATTAGACTGTTCAGACTTTCTGTTTTTCTTTTTTAATTCAATCTGGGAAGATTGCATATTTCTAGGAATTTATCCATTTATTTCATATTGTTCAATTTTTGGCATAAAGTTGCTCATAGTATTTCCTTATATTCCTTTGTATTTCTTGGTGTCAGCTGTAACTTTTCCTCTTCAATTTTTGATTTTGTTTATTTGAGTTCTCGATCTCTATTTCTTGATGAGTCTGGTTACAGGTTTTTTAAAATTTATTTTTATTGTCTAGGGCAGCCGTGGGCAAACTACGGCCCGCGGGCCGGATCCGGC